TGTTCCCTGCTTAACGTTCAGCATTAAGGAATATGACAACAACTAGCTCACCTGTACTCAGTATGTTGTGACTGGGAAGAATGCAGTGCTTCAATAGGAAAACACTGTAAGGTCGACATCAGATCCGCGCTATCACCAGGAGATAAATACATAATAAAACCATACCAAACCAACGGACCAGAGTTGTTTCTTATGAAATAAGGTCGGACTAGCTATTATATATTGCTTTCAGGCGAGCATTGACAAAGCTTTACAAGGCCTGCATAAATAGTTGCATGTCCGAAAATGTTAGACAAACCAGTTGTTCCGCATACACAAACACGCCCCTGCTAATTTAAGTACGTACTCATTGTGTATAATGTAGTGTACATATAGTGTAAGCGGCATGATGTTGTAATAACCTCCTTGTGATAGCGCAGATCTACAAACCCTATGCAAGTGCTACGCTCACAGTGGACCAGTAAACGTACAATGTTCTGTACATGTTAACGTTAGAAACAGTAGCTACAGAGTCGACATACTTTCTGTTTCAGGTTGTGTCTCTCGAGGCACCCGTCCTCATTTGCCCCTGGCTGTTTGGAGGACATTAAACCCTTAAAACGTACATACATTCAATTTGTATGTCCTTAGTTTGTGTCGGCTGTTTGGAGGACTTTAAACCCTTAAAACGTACAGTCAATTTGTATGTCCTTAGTTTGAGTCGGTCATGGGAACAGAAACCTCAATTTTCTTCGATAAAGCGAACACGTTAGGCGTTTACACAAATGTTAAATTCTTCTCTGGACTTTTTCAATATAACACTTCTTAACAATTGATATTAGATATAACAACTGAAGTAACATATATTTAGTTAGGGAAATGATTTCCCAAGTATGGCCATACATCTGATAAAACAGGTTAAATTGAATTAAATTCAATACTCACCGATTGTAGATCGCAAAACCTTTATCAATATTATCCAGTATATGTAATGCATAGTGTACATAAAACCCTTCTTGGAACACCTTGTTTTCACGTCCGTATATTTGGAATAAATGCGTGTTAATGCTTAGGAACATTGTACATTAACACTTTTTGGAAACACATTTCTTTCACGTCCGCATAGTTGGAATGCCACTTCATAAATAAAGTATATCCCCACCGTTTTGTTTATTTCTAAAATCAGTCAGCCTGGGTTTTAATTGGTCTAAACAGTGTTCATTACATATGCATCGTTTTTTTCATTCTTGATTGGCTAAGGGTGAACAGAAAAGTAATTTCAGGGCGGCTTCCTGATTGGCACTTGTTAATACCGTTTTAAAACACGTTGACAATGATCTATTCGTTAAGTGCGATATTGTACATGACTTAAAAACCCATTTCATTTCATCAGCCAGCCTTAAGGTTCGAGAGATAATTGTTAAATAACAAACCTACATGTAACTTGTCTCATTGATCGCATTAAAAAGGTTTGCACCACAGTAGACATGAACATTTAGTATAACGGGTGGTGCATCATTCGACCGCATCCAAAAATATAATTAGTGAGAATGTCAAATATTCATAAACAAACCAAATCTGCATCCCACAGCTGTTAATTGGCCCTAATTACCTATTCTATGTTGATGGGTTGGTTGAGTTGGAGTCAACAGCCAGGATCATACGAGGACGGATGTTTACACCGCCTGAATAAGTTAATAGAAAAGTAATCATACATGAGAGATAGGAATCGAAAAAGATCCAAAGTGTTGCTAATAAAGGCAGCATATCAATTTTGATATTTCCCTTTGAATCCCCCCGTCGAAATTCCCTTCCTTCATGCGTACTGACATATTATGTTCTTTCATTGTGCAAAGTTACAACCAACGATTAAAGAGAAGGTGTGCTTTCAATGGCCATACTTGCAGGAAAAACGTTTCAATAGTATATTCCCTTTCTTTTATGCACACCTTCACATCTAGGCACCCGTCCTTATATGACCCTAGCTTTTACGAGGACGTTAAACCAAAAACAAAACCGAAAGGAAATAAAAGCGCTGCATGTTATCGCAGGAGGCGACGTATGTGTGTTACCCTGCAGAGTCGAGATTTCTTTCGAGGCTTCTGCTCGAAGGACAATGTTTAAATGGGATCTATATCTTTCTACTCTTTTCTTTTGTGGTTTCCAAAGAAACAATTATTATGCAGGGTTCGCACGGGCCTTACCATTACAGTATGGCATTGAATTTCACTCGGGGTCTTAAAAAAAGCCTTGAATACTAGTCTGTGGCCTAGACAATTCCTTGAAAGGAAGAGGGTCTACAAAACCCTTTTTTGGGCCCCTGTATATTCGGATTTTCACCTCCTTATTTTGTTCAAAGATGTCCTATTATATGACATGCGGAAAAATTAAGCACCAGGCGTTCGAAAACTCAAAACAAGCATCGACGTTGGTGTTTGCTGCTTCTAGTCTATCTAGCACATTCGAGGAAGATTTCAAAAAGATACGTTATACCTTGTCGCGCTTAAGTTTGTTTTATTAGTTACAGGAATGGTGTGATATGTCACTAAGCTGACGGTTCCTGCAAGTAGGGCGTAAGAATTTTACCTGCTGTCCCCATTGCATGATCGGAAGAGGAGAATAAATTAATTTGTGATCTTATCTTTTCTATTCTTTCTTAACAACTTTCTTCCTAATGTCTCCCTTGAAAATGCCTAACTTTTGGTTAGCAGCAGTTTAGGAGTGGGACGACTGGTTCGCCCGTTGTCAGTATAATGTGACCGGGTGGGGTGTCCTGCTGGGTGTTTTCGGCAGTATGTTTCAGTGAAGTAGCACTATTAAGTCGGCATCAGTTCCGCGCTATGACAAGGAGACAAACACGAACATATCGAAGCCTCCCAAAACACACACGCATACATCTTGTACACAGGGAAGATCGTCTTTAAATGACCATAGCTGTTGATAGAACGTTAAACAATACTGAACCAAATCTAATTGCTAGTCCAACCTTATTTCACAAGAAACAACTCTGGTCCGTTGGGTTGGTATGTATATATTATGAATTTACCTCCTGGTGATAGCGATGGGGACCTTATAGTGATTTCTTACTGAAAAAACATGCCGAAGGCACCCAGCACATCATTCTTCCCGGTCACAACATACTGGTTGAGCCAGTTGTTGTCATATTCCTTAATGCTGAACGTTAAGCAGGGAACAACACACCCGATAAACAATACCAAACCAAACCAAACCAAACCAGTAGGAGATACAATGCTCACTTTTTTGACGGTATTGTATGGTTTGGTTTTATTTTGTTTAACGTTCCATTAACAGCTAAGGTAATTTAAGGACGTGTGTCAATGTGTGTTTTGTAAGCGTGCATGCGTACAGGAGACGGGGTATGTTGTGAAGTTGCTTCCTTGTAATAGCGCGGATCTGATGCCGACTTTATAGGCTATCTCACTAAAAAGTATATCCCGGCTCGGGGACAGAACCCATGACCTGGCTCACCTTGGACATGCATGAATTTGAATGTAAAATGAGAACTAAATCCATCCCTTAATAATAAATGTAAGCACATTCTTTAATAATATCATTTTGGTGGTAAAAATGAAATGGAATAAATGAAAGATATTAAACCTACCTATTAGATATTTGTATCTCAGTAAAACACATAAACTACTGGGAAACTAGAACTTCTAATCATGTCACCAGGAGAGCAAAGCTAAGGAGAAAAAGAAAGAAGCAGTGTTTTGAATATAATCTTGCTATAAATATAATTGCTACGAGAAAGCACTGCGATCACACCAAGAGATGTGTTTGTTTGTTTGATTTTGTTTAACGTCCTATTAACAGCTAAGGTCATTTAAGGACGGCCTCCCCTGTGTGCAAGCACATGCATGCGTGTAGTGTATGTGTGTGTATTTTGGTTTAATAAAACTATTTATGACCATGCATTGTTGTACTTGTACGAAGGATAAGTTTATTTGTAGCAGTATCCTGTTCTCTCTCAGGCTGCCTTTAGTTGCAAAAGCAGGCCTTGGAAATTTAGTTTAGGCCTTTAATTTGTTGACAATAATCTGTATGAACCCTGTTCTCGGAGGAATTTCAACTAAATGTTTTCTTTACAATCCTGTGTGTTTTTCAAGCTTGATACAGGAAAAATTTCAAACTTCATTGTGTAAAAATCAATGTGTTGAATAATGTTTTCATATTAGGTACATCATAATATTAGTCTCAAATCTGAAATCGAAACATTCGATCAATATGTGTAGCACAGTGATATGTTCGTTACATTAGTGTTACAAGAGCTGATCATCTCGCTGAAACAAGTCCGCATGAGTATGCGAAGTCGTTAAAGGATTACCTCTTTTCTTAGGTCTTCTCATAGATGTTTGAACCCGCAGAGGGTTGAATTGCGATGACTGGTTTACCTGTTGTCCGTTTAATGTGACCGGGGGGAGTGTTGTGCTTTTAGGATGGCATTTCAGTGAGATCGCACAATTAATTCGGCATAAGTTTGGTTTTATAAAGATGTGCCTGAAAACTTATCCGGAGGTCGAGTACAAACTAATATGGCAAAAAAGGAAAACCCAACAATTGTCCATAAAGGACCGTAGACAATATAATAAGATATCTCACTGACATGTACCACTTATACATAACGATCGTTAGACTGCTAAATAGTATATATAAAGGTGCAACAGGCAGACACAATATGCCTTGTTGAATGTCACATAATTTAATCTATTTCAAAGTCACCTTTTGTATCCAAATTGATGGTTCGTGCAAATGCATACAAAACACGTATGCATCTGAACTACGCCAGTGAGTTTATATGCTAATCAGTATTCGCACGTGACCTCGCACAATTATCAACTGTTACTGTCGGTGTTGATCATTGAAGTAAATGTAAATGTACTAATCTTCATTTGCTGTGATATTCTGTCGTTGATATGGGTCTGTTATCAGACATCTGGACGATTCGGAATTACATCATTGTAACATTAACACCGATAGTTTTACTGCCATTGATTCTCCTATCCGATAGACAGGTACGTTATCGTAGCCAGGGCTTTATTATACAATAACATATGTTATGAGAAATGAGTAGATAATTGATTCGTTATATAATCTTTCCAGCAGTTAACGCAATACGCCAATGAAGTCTTACCATTTTGAAATATTGTTAAAAGGATGTGGTTTTGTTTTGTTATTAGTTCACCTGACCGCGGGTCATGGTGACCTATTGCAATCCGTCTTCGTCCATTGTCTTGCGTTAACATTTTACATTTTCGACTTCTCAAATACTCCTCTGCCAAATTTATTATAACTTGGCACAAGTGATCATCATGGCATGTGGTTAATTTTTGCTCTAATGGAGGGGCTATTGGTCTAAGGGGTCGCAATAGGGGCAAAAATAGAAAAAATATTTTTCTCAAGAACCAAAAGTGCAACAAGTTTGTTGTTTTCATACATGAGGCATTGGGAATGTTTATTCAAGTTTGTTCAAATCAAGTCTCTAGAGCTATAGAAGGGGCCACATTGCAGGCTTTCTATTGGCCGAAATTTAGATTTAGTCAGATTGTATTGAAAATTGGTTGGTTGTCATGGTAACCGAGTGGTGACCTCTGTTTGGTCATAAGTAAGATATACAATTGAGCTTAAATTTGGTATGGTTGGTATTTGGCTAATGGAAACTTGATGGCAATCATTTTGATAGGATCATTTGCCATTGCAACCAAAGTTTTGAGGTCTTTAGGGCCTTAAAAGGGACAACAATAGAAAAAGGTGGGCAATTTAAATAAAATCTTCTTCTCAAGACAACATGTCTTTTGTATTGCATGCCTGATGCCTTACGGATGTTTATTACAATTTTTTTTGTTCAAATCAAGACCATGGGGCCATGGAGGAAACCACATTGCAGGCTTTTGATTGGTCAAATTTAAATGTTCTTGGATTTAAGTGAAAATTCATATGATTGATCTTTTAGGGTAAGGTTTGCGCTCTGCCTGGATTTTTATCATTATAATAATGTAATAATGTGTTATATTTGTTTGTTCATTGGGGATACCTCTATCATTTCACGGCTTTTTAAACAAAAACACCCGTCCCGTTTTTTTGAAAGAACAGCTAAAAATTTAGATTTTTGGTTGTTTTATCACAATGTATTTTTAAACTTTTTTTAATGAAAAATTTATGCAAGTGTCAAAACTATTTTTTTTTAAAGAAAACATGTTCAAATTATTATGATCTAAACATTATCTTTAAAATTGGTAGGTTGTCTTCTTTCTAGACAGAAAAGTTCATTTCTTAGAATACTAGTATGTTTCATCCAACTGTAATGCCATGGCCAAATTCGTATTTTTTTTTTTTTTTATATAATTGGTGCAAATTGAAATGTAAATCAATTAAGAATATTGACAGTGAAAAATAACCAGCCATACGCCGTTTTATGTACATTTGGGAGGAAATTCACAGTTGTGATGATATAGACTTATTTTATTAAATCTTTCAACCAAAATAAGCTTGTTTCTAGCTGGCCACTCTCAGATTGATACGTTTTTGGTGTGCTTTATGTCGATCTGATGAATCAAGCCTTCAGTATCGGTTTTGATCATTGTTGAAGGCTGTATGGTGACATATTCTTTCACATTTCAATAAACTTGACTTTTGATGTCTGGTTTTCTTTTGTATATTACATTGAGTGATTTGTACCGTCTTTGTGCCAGTACCATACATCCGTTTGTTACAATATGGATTCCTGGATACTGAAAAACTTTTTTGTCATTTATGGTAGCATAAAAAAAGATTTGAAAGAATAGCTTTCAAACTTTTATGGGAAAGTTATATATGCTTGAAATCTTCTGATATCTTGAGACCAACTCCATCTACAAAGCATGCATAAAACACTCATAACAAAGAAGAAAAAATACAAATTTCGGTGTTTATTTGACTGCAGGTTATATTTGCATATGTATATTTGAAAAAGCAATTGTAACACAAATGCTAGCTCTTTCATAAAATAGAAATTTGTATTATTGTTGTGAAAATGCCTTACAGCAATTTAAATACAACAAAAAGGCCCAGAGGGCCTGTATCGCTCACCTAGATATCTCAGCAATTATGGCAAAATATTTTCCAAATGAGATCCAAGGGAATATTCCAGACCCCAAGGTCAATTCTTGTAGCATGTCTGTATTATATTTTTCATGCCAATCAGTTTTATGAATGGTTATGGGGTGGGGATCTCAACTGTTTCCAAGCTGTGACTTAGAAACTATCTCCCTAGGGTTGTGGCCAGACCCCAGGATCAATTCTAATATCATGACTGCATTTGCCTCTTTTTGCCCAGCATTTATATATATATAGTTTTGGGGTGGGGATATAAACCGTTTAAAGATATGATCCAGGGGTTAAGTCTCCGAAGGTGGGGCAGATCCCAAGACCATCCTGGAAGCATATGTACATTCATCTCTCTATAATCAGCAATTGTATATATGGTTATAGGGTGGGGTCTCAACTGTTTCCAAGCTGTGACTAAGAAACTAGGTCTCATAATATCATGACTTCATTCGTGTCTTTATGCCCAGTATTTGTATATATAGTTTTGGGATGGGGATCTCAACCGTTTTAAAGTTATGACCCAGGGACTATGTCTCCAAGGGTGGGACCAGACCCTAGAGCCATCCTGAAAGCAAATGTGCATTCTTCTCTTTATACTCAGCAATTGTATATATGGTAATATGGCGGGGATCTCAACCATTTCCAAGTAATACACTTTGTTTGGCCCCACCCCTTAGCCCGGGGGGTCAGCTCCACCATTTGAATAATTTTGAATCCCTACCTCCCATGGATGCTTCCGACGAAATATGATGGATATCCATGGAACAGTTCTACGGAAGAAGTCGTTTATAGCAATATAGCCAAATTGCCCCCACCCTCAGCCCCACCATTTGTACAAATTTAAATCCCCACCACCTAGGAATGCTTCCAGTCAAATATGGTTGATATCCATCACTTAGTTCCAGAGAACAAGTCGCTTAGCTACATAGCAAAATAACCTTTTTTGGCCCCGCCCTTCAGCCCTCTGAGGGTCAGACCCAACATTTGTACAATTTTGAATCCCTCGCTCCCATGAATGTTTTTGATAAAATATCAAAAGAAGTCGATTATAGCAATATAGCCAAATTGCCCTCTTTTAGCCCCGCCCCTTAGCCCCCCGGTGGGTCAGCCCAAACATTTGTACAGTTTTGAATCCTCACCATCTAGGAATGCTTCCAGTCAAATATCGTTGATATCCATCACTTGGTTCATGAGAAGAAGTCAAAGTAATATAGCCAAATCGCTACCTTTTGGCCCCGCCCTTCAGCCCCCTGGGTGGTCAGCCCAACCAATTGTACAATTTGAATCCCCACCTAGGGATGGTTCCTGTCAAATTTAGTTTAATTCCAATCAGTGGTAAGAAAGGAGAAGTAGTTTAAAGGAATTGTTGACGTCAGGACGGACGACGGACACCACGGTATGGCATAAGCTCACTTTGGTCCTTCAGACCCGGTGAGCTAAAAATGAAGGGAAACGGGGTAATTGATCATGAGACAAACACTCTTTATAAAACAAAAACACAATAACCCCACAAAACACAAATGTGGCCTTCAATAATGGGAGCTCCAAAACCAACAAGCGAGCTCAGGAATGCCCATAACAAAAATGTATGTACTTGATATGTGTAACAAATGTGATCATAGGTGCATATACATCTTCATTGGCACAAAGGGAGTGGTCACCATATAAATGTGGAATAATAAGATCAAGTGATTTTTAAGGCTCTCCGGGTCTTTTCTCTTGCATTCTTTTATGGCATGCATGAAGCACCTTCCAATGTTAGGTATGACATTTGGCTGCTTCAACACTTTGTAATTCTGGCTTAGCTTGTAGAGTTTTGATGTTATGCCTCTTTTGGTGTGGTTGCTGTCATCTTTGTTTTCAATGGACAAGAAGTTGTGGATAATTGTTATCACCATGGATGATATCTTTTGGACATCAACTAAGTCTCTGGCCATTGATATTGACATGTCAGGCTCAATTGCTTTACTCGACCCGTCCCAGTTTTTTTAACATTCATGTACAGGTATAGTGTGGTTTTGGCTCTGATAAAGGGCACATATCTGGCAAGATTTACCCCTAAATGAGAACTGCAGTATCTTTCCCGTTTCTTTCCCAATCAATTATCCATGGCCTGAAATTATACATGTTAAAAACAACTGCATTAATATATATAATCATTAGAAATTTGAGTTGCTTAATTTCCTATAGTATATGTATACATTTTTACCTTTACATTTCCCTTTTGGGCATCAAGACATATTTTTTTCGCAATGGTCTCCAAGGTTGTGTCAATCTCTTGAGAGTGGACGGCACAACTAGGGGTAAATTTAAAGTTGCCAGCAGGTTGTTAACTTGAACTGGGCCCATTGCTGTGTGTATCATGGCTAAAATGTTTTGCAAGTATATTAATAAGAACAATTGCATCAGGGAAAAGTCACATTTTTAAGTACATTAAATGTATCAATAGAAATATCAATCAATTATTAAAATCATAATTGTCAAAGTGACATGTTTATTGTGTATTCATTTTCAAGTTAAAGAAGTTGTTGAGAAGTAAATGAATGTACATGTACATTGTCCTAATAATAAGTTTGAGCCAAATTACGCAAGCTTGTCAACTCTTATACAATTACTTGAATTTGAAGAGGAAATCAAAGTAGGAGTGATTTTGAAAAAAAAGTGTATTCTGGCCTACTGAGAAATGAAAAAAAAACTTTGCCATAGACAGGAGGAAAATGAATACATTTTTGAGCAAAACAACAAACTGCCGGAAAAGCAAAAAGTCTGTTATATGAAACTAGTTTTTATTGGAACTTAACTCTTTCCGTACTGTTGTCGTGTACACACGACAACAATATGTCATCCTGGTCCTCGTTGTCGTGTACAGACGACAAAATAAAGGGCCGTCTCATCCCCGTTGTCGTGTACACACGACAAGAGACTTTGATGTAACCTGTCTGATGTTTAGTTGGTTATCGCACGAGACTGTCGCGAAAAAACAATTTATTGTCGCTAAAATCAGAACCCATCTGTTTAGAAGAAGTAAATTTATTTGTGCAGAGTGCACTTTTTTATTATGTAACTTAATGTTCTCACATTTGCCGCAAGATGTTTGCGTTTGGTGCCTCAAATGTAAACAAGATGGCGGCAATTTAACTTGATACGAACATTCGTAAATTCATCATCAGATATTTGTTGAGACTTATGGAAGTAAATTTGAATATTCTAATATAAGTCTTGATGAAATCTACTTGTATTTAGAAAAAAAATCAACGACTCTACATTCGTAACCATAATAAATCCCTATTGGAAACCTGCACTAAAACGCTGTGTTAAATACAAGGAATCGTATCGTTAATTGCCAGACAAATGTCGATTTCTCAGTCTTAATCATCTGCCAGTTAGTCATAATGCTGCGAAAATGAATTAGTGTTTGTCTATGAACAAGAACATGAAACAATAACAATATTTGTTCACGGTTACCTGTTTAATTCTTGCGGCTGTTACACCTAGTCTAAAAAGTACCTTTACAATCCGCCATTTGTTATATGTGCGGGGGCGAGTCTAATAAGTACATCCGGTACGGAATCCGGACCGGAGTTGCGGTACGAAAAGAGTTAAAAGCAATATTTTTTCTGGCATCGAGTAAATGTGTGTAGCTTTTCTAATCTCGGCTTTTTTGTATACGGGAATTTGGGACGTCCACAGGTTAGATATGTAAAAAAATGCCTCCATTTTAATGTAACTTACATAAGTTCTTTCAACTTAAATTCATTAAAAAATATGGAGTATTCCAGAATGTACCAACCGTTCTTTTTGTATGTGTGTGCAGGATTTTTATTTTATTCTTGTGACTTTGAAGACATCATTGGGATTACCTAGTGCTAATTTTGAATTGATGTCAAATGTTCCGTTGTTTCTTTTTCCAGTTTTGACATCATTCAGTGAACTGCACACACTGTTCTGGCATCGTATGAATAGTATGCTACCTAGTCTATATCTTCTCTCTCACTCTCAATGTCGCTCAGGTGTAGTCGAGATTCATACGAGATGCAATACATCTGTTGGGCTAAGGACTGTAGCTCGACTTCGTCTACCTGTCTTCCAGCTGTCATCTCGTGCTGGGTCAACTGTTCAGCTTGCCCGAAGTTCGAGATCCGAGAGCACCGATCCAGTGATTACATTTTTATCATAGATGTGGTCTTCTTTTTGTCGGCTCATCAACGGGGTGACCTACCTATGAAATGTTTTGAGACTCTTGGGCTTTCAATTGTTTTAGAAAAAAAATTTTGGATTGACATCGTAATATTTTCGCTTATTTCAAACGCTCAAATGATTTGGAGAATTCCACGATTTCAACTCGAGTTATCTCCCTGTGACCGCAAACCTTACCTTAACGGGTACACTGATAGTAGATTTTTCTAAATTTTTCTAAATTTTTGGTTGCCATGGCCACATTTTAATGCAACATGAAATGCATGGTGAATTATGAACAGAATTTAATGCTCACAGAACTTTATTTACAGATTTATTTCCTTTGTTCTAATTTTCGCTTTGGAGGCAGAGCTCGTGTAATTTTTCGCCTCTAATGTTAAATACATACATGCCAGGTGACCTTTTAGGCCCATGGACCTCTTCTTTGCATGGTTATACGGCCCATCGACAATGCGAGTCATTTATGGCCAAACGACGTTGTAAAGATAGACATTAACACAAATTAATATATCGAACAAAAATAAATAGCGAACAAAAGTTAAAAATAAATCATCAGCAAACGAATTCTTGGTAAAATATATCAAATCTTATCGTAAAGACCTATAGATTGCAAATAGTCATATATCAATTGCACAAAAACTTTATCAAATAAACTGTTTTCATAGACGGTACATTGTAGAATCTGTTACAGATTTGTTTTAAATCAGCGCATTCAATCAAACATGTTTGATTGTGAGAAAAACGATGTGGCCTGGTGAGATGTTGTGATATGGATTTAACATCATCAAACTTTTAACATCTGTTATCGCTGTCACAAAAACACCTCTAAAATAACTCGTAGAACATTTGTTTTTAAATTTTAATATTTTATGATCTTTTTGTAGGAAACAAAATGTGCTTATGTTGTAATACTTTCCGCTGTATTCTGGATAACGGAGGCACTTCCAATTGCCGTGACGTCATTGCTGCCAGTTGTTATCTTTCCAGCCATAGGCCTGATGTCTGCTTCAGATACATCTTCTGCTTATATTAACGCAAGTACACTTATTGAAAAATTAAAAAGATAAGTTGTGCTGAACCAAATTCAACATTTATTGTTTATAAATATACAGTATCCTTTAACAGAATCGGGTGGCGGGATGACTTATTTTGTATCATTCAAATCTTTTTCGTGTCGTTTCTTTCCTGGTCCTAACAACGTCCAAGTCAACCCTTTTATTATTTTTGTTGTAACCTTCTCCGTTATAGCCATCTCTTCTAAGCGTTCATTATCTTAAATATCTATAATTGCAGCATATCATCATCAAAGCCTTTTTGGTTTCTAGTACCTTGCTTGGCAGTTTCTGACTTTGGTGTTGAGCGTTAACAAAAGCAAGAATGCAATAGGTTCTGTACTCGGGTTAGGTCATAGCAAAGTCCTTAAAAATAGTACCTGTTGTCCCCATTAAACTTTCAGTATTAAAGGGTTTGGATTAATTATGTTGAACGTCCTATTAACAGCTAAGGTAATTTAAGGACGTGCCTTCATGTGTGTTGAGTATGCATGCTTACGTGTGTGTAAGCAGGAGGTTGTGTATTTTTTACCTCCTTGTGATAACGCGGATCTGATGCCGACTTTAAAGTGCTAACCCGAACCATTTGCTTAACCTGCTGTTACCATAATTTTACAGAAAGAAAATATTGAGCACAGTGTATTCGTCATAGTACTAAGTGACGTAGCACTCTTAAGTCGGCATCAGATCCGCGCTATCGCAAGGAGGCAAATACCTCAACATAACGCCTCCAGTACATGCATACATTACACACATAAAGGTACTTTCCTAAAATACTTTAACTGTTAATAGGACACTTAACCCAATCAAACGAATCCAAACCATTTCTCTTGCGTGAACACAACACAGTGTTACCTCGTGTGCTCCCCATGTTTGTAACATTTGTTCATAACGTCGTCATATCTTTAATTCAACTATTTAAAGGACACTTCGATGCTGTTCATTGGAGGACTCATTCTTGCAGCAGCTATCGAACACTGGGATATCCATAAACGTATTGCTCTGAAAGTTTTAATCATGGTTGGATCTGAGCCTGTATGGTGAGTATTGCATGGTATAGACGAATAAATAACCTAATTTGTTAATCCTATGCCCATAGAATACACGATGGAAGGAAAACATTTCCTGGTTAGCCCTTATGCTAAGCAGAAGAACTATCAGTATAAAAAACATAAATTTAATTAAAATGATATTAAACAACATGTTGACATAACTACAACAGCAATAAACTTGTCCTGCGGATCTGAAATCGGCAGAGGAATTTTTATTCATGACATTTAAATACATGTTGTTATTGCATTTTTTTTTTTTTGAGAATTAAGTTAGGAAAACGAATCTTAACGGGACGACCATGGGTAAGTAACAATATATGTTTACCCCATAAAATACCCACGAACCATAAAAATAATCACGCTATGCTGTGGACTATATGTCCATGTCTTTATCCTTTCGTTTGTTTGATGTCATTCCCTTTTATAAGTTTTGTCAACCTCTAACTAGTTTAAAAATCTCTTCTGTTTTCTGAGTTGTTCAGAAATTAATAACTATGTCCACGTCTAGAATAGGCACGGTATAATCATGGTACCTGTAGTTCGATGATTGAATAATATGTCGACTTGCAGTGTCATTGTTAGTCTGCCGAGTAAAGTTTCTTTGTGTTGCATCCCTTGCAGGTTAATATTCGGTATGATGTTGCCAACGTGGTTCCTGTCAATGTGGATCAATAACACAGCCACTGCAGCCATGATGGCGCCAATATCCAACGCAGTGATGAAACAATTCAGAGAGGTGAAGGATGAAAGGGGTTCCCAAGCAGATCAACAGGGTGCATAAATTACTATTTGTTGTTAGCCCACCATCATCACATGGTTTAAACTGTTCAAATTGTCCTTACACACAATCATATGTTACACACATGGAGGCGTGTCCTAAAATGATCTTGGCTGTTTAGAGGACGTCAAACAAAAAAAACTTATTTCATTTAAGTGTATGTATGACCTTTTCATGTTTCGAAGAGACAACAATGTTCTTCCGATAGTTTCCTAAATTTTCCCTGACTTTTTTAAAATCTTGGCAAGCGTGTTTCGAATTTATTAAATAATTTGAAGAATTGTTTGTGAAAGTTACGTGAAACAATTGTAGGGTATGATTTAATGAAATATTGGCATTAGCCTTGTTAAAGCGATTGATTGGAATGCTATGATTGGTTCCTTTGGAATGGTATTTCAGTGATATATTGCTATTCAATAGGCATTATAGATCTGCGATATTGCAAGGAGGCAATCACACCAATAAACCCTAACACACATGCAAGCATATTTCACACGTTGAGGCACGTCCTTCAATGACCTTTGCTCGTAATAGGACGTTAAACCCCATAAAACCAAACCAAACCTTGATTTGGAAAAGGGTCATCAATGTTATTTAGATACATTATTTTAAAAATAGCTTGCTATAAAGATATCTGAATGAAATGGGATTACATACATGTACATGTACACACAGTAGCACGACACCTTCAAAGAGGGCTCCCCGGCATGTACGGGGAAAGCATTTTAACATTTAATTGTACTGATGAGCTAACTGGTTTTGTTTTGTTTTGTTTAAAAATTGTTTAACGTCCTATCAACAGCTATGGATGAGCTTACTGCTCAAAGTGAAAAAAGAATTTGAATGTAATGTGAAACATTAAATCATGCAGGGCATTCGATCATAAGGTGGTGAAATTAATGTTCATTTTTTTAGAATACGAAAGCTTGGACAACAGAGCCGCGGAATACACTGATGATGAATGCAGAACACGAAGTGACTACCACGAGTTAACTGGCTCGAATATATCCAAAGACGAGGATGGAATCAACAAAGAATCAAGGCGAGTAAGCAGTGTTATTTATGTTAATCTCGCTATGTATCATCTTCAATAAATAACAAGATACCATGTTCGCAAAATCTTCATTGGTTCTATGCATTTATTTTGTCTTATTGGATTGAGTCATTACAACGAAACAAGGCATATTGTGGTTACTCTTGTACAAGATTTAAATTGCTGTTTGACAATGATCATTCAGAATGTAGTAGTCATTTAAACATTTTACTATAAGTAAAAGAGAACAATTTAAACCAAGATAAAACTGAACTGTAAGCCAATTGCTAACTGACACCCCTGCTCCTATATAAACCTGAACTGTAAGCTAGGGTCTTACTAAGACAAAGCATTGCAAAGCAATATAGTCTCCCACCAGTAATGATTTCATTATTGGCTGAGCATTACATTTTATTTAAGTATATAGGTCACTCACATTCTTCCTGTACTCCCTCTCAATGCCAAAACATACAGATGAACGAGTTTTGCTGAATGTTTCATTTTGTTTTAACGTCTTATTAACAGCTAAGATCTTTAAAGAACATGCCTCCATGTGTGTTGTGTATGCGTGCTTGTTTGTTTGTATGCAGGAGACAGGGTATGTTGCTGTGCTTGCCATATTGTGATAACGCGTATCTGATGCCGACTTTATAGTGCTATCTGACTGAAATGCTATCGTCCTAGTAGTTTGGATCAACTTAAAATATACTGGTCACGTACCCTATACCTTAATCCTACAACGTACATATATAGGCATGCAATATGGAGCAACGTCCACTCGTACATGTGGTTTTAGTCTATGCTTATTAAGTATGACATCACATGGAAGAAAAACAGAAGTTAACAAAACCGAATGGTCCCTTAATATACCCGCTTTGATTAACATGTGCTGTTTAAATGTGTGTGATTTGTGTAAAGTGATATGTAATGTGTGATTATTATGAATTGTGCTATGTACAGAGGGCTCCCCGGCAGGTACGGGGAAAGAATACTTACTGCTCAATGTTAATAAAGAACTTGAATGTAATGCGAAATATTTGATCATGCAGGGCATTCGATCACAAGGTGGACAAATTGATGTCCATTTTGTAAGAATAACAAAGATTTTTAACAAAAGGCCATAACTCCTAAAAAAGGGTCGAAATGAAAATATAAATCCCGATGCATGATATCAGGGGGTAATTACCAGTAATTTGCCCAGTAGTAAAGGAGACAGACACAGTTTTTTTCAACAAATGTCTATATCTCCTTTTAAAGGGTCTGAATGAAAAAGTACTTCTTTGATGCACAACGTCAAGGGGCAATTGCCATATCTGTAAACTTTCTTTGAAATTGGCCCAGTAGATTAGCAGAAGTTGTCAGGACAAGGAATTTAAACAAATGGCCATAACTCCATAAAAAAGGATTTGATAAAAATACCTGGATGCACAACTTTAGGTGGTAGTCATCATATTGGAAAAATTCGGTTGAAATTGGGAGCAAAGTGTTGTTGGCGGAGTTGTATGGCGAAGTGTTTTTCAACAAAGGGCCATTACTCCGTAAAAAGAGTCAGATTGAAAAACATAATACCTGGATGCACAACTTCAGGTGGTAGTTATCATATCTGAAAACTGTCATTGCTATTGGTCCAGTAGTTTTGGAGGAGTTGTGCGGACAAGAATGTTTCAATAAAGGCCATAACTTTGTAAAAAAAAAAGGACAGAATGAAAGAAGTATACCTGTATGCACAACTTTATGTGGTAGTGATTATATGTGGAACATTTCGTTAAAGTTCGTCCATTACTTTAGAAGGAGTTGTCCGGACAAACTTTTTCTGCGGAAAAGTTATTATCATCAAGGTATTATTAAAAGCTTAACGGCCCATCAACACATGATAGTTATTAGGGCCAACAAATGGCCGGAAAACCCCCCAATGCATAATCAAACAAACGTAAAGGTTAAAAGACAAACGTGAATTTCTATATTGAAAGTGGCTATGATGACTCACATTTTATTTAAAAGACCAACATCTTTCAGATAGGCTAAAATTGAAGAGACAGTCATGTGTTCGAAAAGAGATTAAAGAACTGTAATGTTATTATAGAAATTTTCTCGAGTTGACCGACTTATAGTCGACACAATCTAATAAGAAGTGTTTTACTGTAAATGGTTCCTGACACGCTATGCATTGAGGCTGAATATCACGTTATAGTAAATAACAATAGGTAATATAGGAATCCGGAGACCGGCAAGGACAACCTCGTCTCGGCGCCTCTCTCTGTAGCTAGGATGCAATTCACCGATTTCAGGTTTAATATATTGAATTTGTTATCTACGCATTGATTCCAATTATTTTGCCACTGTGATCTTATAAATGTTGTAACTAGCGGTTTAAAAATCAGTAAAATGAAGTTAAGAATATTCAGGTGGTAGTAATAGTGCTGCTTTCTTTTTCATTACCTGGTGTTACCGCATGACCTGGACCCAGCAAAAGGTTATATGACATTTTGAGGTAATATTATGTTTGGCTAATTGTGATATTCTTCACATTTTTGTTGGGAGGCTTTGTAGAACAGATTAAATAACTGACTGTGGTACATTATTTGATTTAAGGTGCTCAAGGCCGAGATAGATAGCATCATTGGGCAGCCGGCATCCAACTGTAGTATCTTTGGAACCGTCCGTATAAAACGACTGAAAATCCTTATATTTTAACTGCAGTTTTGAAAAATCCGAACCAAAAATGTAAGTTTCGGATGTCGGTGAATTGAAAGATCAACCTCCGGTCAAACCAGAAGCAGCGGAGGCATAGCAAATGATTTTTTCAGTATTTTTCAGAAGGGAATACCAAAGGTTGGAATACAGTTTGGGTTTATTTTGAGTTTTGTTTTTTGGATTGAAAACAACTGAAAAGGCTGGATTTGAAGTGTTTTACTTTAATTGTACTGCATATTGCAACGAAAATTTCTCTCGGCGATTATGTAATGAAGGTTCGTTAGCCACCACGCAAGGACTTGCAGATGGTGTGGTTTTAAACGCTTTAAAGTCGCAGGCCCTGGTGATGGCCAGTGTCCAGTAATTTTTAAATATGACTTTCTTGCGGATCCATAAACAATGGATCCATAGTTCAATTTAGATCTGACAAGTGCTCTATAGAGTCTTAGCAGTACCTTTCTATCAGCTGGGGAGTTGGTATAGGAGACGACCTTTAAAATATTCAATTCTTTCATGCATTTTGCTTTAGATATTTTATGTGTGGAAGGAACGACAACTTTCTATCGAATGTGACGGACGGACAGACAAGCTGATATAATTATACCTCCCTTACGGTCAAGCAGCTTGAAGCTCAAACTGAAATATAGACAAAACTAGGTAATAGGAATAACCTATTGATACAAATAGAGAAAGAACTGTATGAATTTTCAAGGTTAAAACAGTTACAAACTTCATCAGTCGATACAAGATGTCTGATTGGTAGCTATCCTTTTTTCGGGGGAAAAACAAGTCAAGAGAAGCATAGAGAGGATCTTAAAAGCAGTTTTTACCTGATAATCTAAAACTGAAGTTTTTCGTAGTCTCAAAACCGAACAAAATTTAAAACCAAAAGGAACGTACATATGAAATTTGAAAAAGACCTGTCAAATACTTCTTGAGAAATAGTTTGGACTGTCGAAATTCACGATGATTGTCAATCTTTGCGCACCCTGAGTTAATTTAACCCAACGCTAACGTATATGTGATTTTGCTATTACACACTGTTAAAATTATGTCGTTTACAGTTCTGTAGAGGATGATGTAACGTCTGACCTGGAATACCTTCGCCTTGGTAAAGCTCTATCCCTCTCAGTAGCCTATGCTGCCAACATCGGAGGTGTAGCAACGCTTACAGGATCCTTTCCAAATATCATAATGAAAGGACAAACAGACTTGTAAGTACGGAATTGTTCTGATTGATTTGGTTTGATTTTGTTTTACGTCCTATCAACAACATCTTCGATAACCTGGGGTTACGCTCATTTTCGCTCTCTGCACCCCTGTCATAGCAAAATTGAAGGCATGTGGCTAGCTATCCGATTGATCTCGGGTTAAAATAAAGACTAATAAATAGGATGATACCTGTCCTTTGAAGATTACAAGGGAGCGAAGCCAGTAAGTTTTAATGTTACGCGAGCGCGGGATTCTTTTGATGAACATTTAAGGATCAAAATAGTCTTCTTGTCTTCATGAACAAGTTGGCGCACACTGAGCCTTCATTTTTCTATGACATTCAAAGGGTGCAGTTAGCGAAAGTGAGCGTAGCCGTTAGATATCAAGGATCTACAAGTTTGGTTTGGTTTTAGTATTGTTAACGTTCTATCAACAGCTATGGTCATTTAAGGACGGCCTCCCCTGTGTGCATGATGTATGCGTGTAGTGTATGTGTGTGTATTTTGGGAGGCTGCGATATGTTCGTGTTTGTCTCCTTGTGATAGCGCGAAACTGATGCCGACTTGATAGTGCTACCTCACTGAAACATACTGCCGAAAACATCCAGCAGGCTACCAACCCGGTCACATTATACTGACAACGGACGAACCAGTCGTCCCACTCCTAGATTGCTGAGCGTTAAGCAGGATTAGAAAATACCATTTTTACAGACTCTGGTATGTCTCGGCCAGGGGCGAGGACCCAAAGCCTTCCTCACGTGGGCAAACACTCAACTAAAGGCCAAAAGTAAGGCATTGTCAAGAGAGACATTAGGAAGAAGAGAAAAGATAAGATCCAAAATTTAGTCACCTCTTACGATCATGCAATTAGAGGCAGCAGGTACATTTCTTACGCCCTACCTGCAGGGACGTTCCTGTATGTGTGTGATTGTGCCAAATACCATGCAAAAGGAACCCAACACAAATTCCGCCTAAACCCTCAACAAACTTTATTTATGCAGCGAAATGCACTAGCTTGGTGTTTTCTTGTTTCCTTTTATATTCATACAACAAATCGTCACAATGATGAGTGATTCAAAAAAAAAAAAAATTATCCATACATACTATCGCCAACCGTTTTCTTTGTAAATTAGCATTGTAATAGTGGTCGGTTTCAGATTGTATGAGAGGTACCACACAACATCTCCGGTGACGTATGGCTCATTCTTGCTGTACGGATTTCCTATAGCGTTTTTCGCCCTCCTGGCCCTTTGGATATGGTTCTACCTATTCTTTTTCTTATGCAGGTACGTGTGTATGTAACTGCTACGTTGAACGATCAATGTGTTTGTATTTTTGTTGTTATATACCGTTTGGCCCAATAATGAACGTGGCAAACTGTAACTTTAAAATTAACCATGCATTTCATACACGAACTGTCTGCTGTTTTTCAAAACTAATATATAATAAATATATACATTTTTATTTAGACGTGACCAGGGGCGCCTTGGGAAAAACCATGGTGCAAGAAAAAATATCAAGACAATGCTAAAAAAGGAATACAACGATATGGGACCTATGACGTAAGAGTTCACCAAGTTCGTTTTACTTTCTGCGCTGTTTCTCTATACTTTTGTTTGTTTGTTTGTTTGATTTTGTTTAACGTCCTATTAACAGCTAAGGTCATTTAAGGACGGCCTCCCCTGGGTGCAAGATGTATGCGTGTAGTGTATGTGTGTGTATTTTGGGAGGCTGCGATATGTTCGTGTTTGTCTCCTTGTGATAGCGCGAAACTGATGCCGACTTTATAGTGCTACCTCACTGAAACATTCTGCCGAAGACACCCAGCAGGACGCCCCACCCGGTCACATTATACTGACAACGGGCGAACCAGTCGTCCCACTCCTAATTTGCTGAGCGTTAAGCAGGAGTATAAACTACCATTTTTAAAGACTTTGGTATGTCTCGGCCAGGGGACAGAACCCAAAGCCTTCCTCACAGGGGCGAACGCTCAACAAATGGCCAAAAGTGAGGCATTGTCAAGGGAGACATTAGGAAGAAGAAAGTTATTTAGAAAGGAGAGAAGAGATAAGGTCCCAAATTTAGTCGCCTCTTACGATCATGCAATTGGGGGCAGCAGGTACAATTCTTACGCCCTACCTGCAGGGTCTTTTCTCTATACATTTGTCTTGGATAAATGTAGTAACTAAGGTTTGTAAAAAGAATAAGTCTGCTGTATCCCACTGCGAGTTAGATTAACAGGTGACTTGCTAGGGTCTTCTACAGACTAGCGAAAAGCGTGTTATTAGTCCTACGGAACTCTTTCATTCCTAATATCGCTATACTACTTGATTTTCGTTGGCCACACTTTAATCCTCTCGAACAAAAATATTCAATTTGAAAAGCGATTTTTTGCTTAACTTAGACCCAGAAATAATTCTAAATGTAGCAAGCAAATTCGTGGAATTTATATCCCCCGCTTGCAGGGCATATTGTAGGTAAACATTATTGTGGTTTGGGTTAAACATGCGAGTATCGTGCTTTTGAACCATAATGTATAGGTTGAAACTCGAAGAAAAAAAGCCTTATACCGAAGTAAGACTTTTTATTGAACATGTAGGTATTACGGTGTAAATTAATCGTTTAATCCATCAGAATTTACTAACCTCATTTATTATCCGTAAATATGCACAAATCACATCGGTTGGCAAACTTAGCATGAGTCGGATATGCATATGGTATTTGGTTGAAATATTTGCACAATATCTATAGCAATTATCACACAAAAACCAAAAAGTGCCAGAGATGGGTCGAAAGACAGGAACACAAACATTGCTATCAAGTTTGAAGAAATTTGGCTAATATTTGCGTGAATTATTAAGCGGAAAATGCAAATAATGTCGTGTTTTGTTAATCAAGGGCCCCATACCTCCACAAAAAGGAATTTGATTAAAGTAATTGTCAAACTTGGCCGAACCCTTAATGCGTTGAACCCTTTTACTAAGTTTGAAGACAATCGGATAATATTTGCGAGAGTTAATGAACAGAAATGGCAGATAATGACGTTTTCGTTTTTTAAGGGGCCATAATTCCGCCAAATAAAGCGCGCTGAAAGTGATAATCGAAGTTGGCCGAGTCCTGAACGCATTTAACCATGTTACCAAGTTTAAAGAAAATCGCTTAACATTTGTTGCAGTTATTGCACGGAAACGGCAGATAGTGACGTTTTTCGTTATTCAAGTGGTCATCATTCCGCCAAATAAAGTCCGCTGAAAGTGGTCATCGAACTTGGCCGAGCCCTGAAGTCATAATGTTACCAAGATTAAAGAAAATTGCTTAACATTTGTTGCAGTTATTGCACGGAAACGGCAGATAATGACGTTTTTCGTTATTCAAGGGGCCATCATTCCGCTTAATAAAGTCCTCTGAAAGTGGTCATCGAACTTAGCCGAGTCCCTAAGGCATTAAACCTTATTACTTAGTTTGAACTTGGTATCAAGACTTACTAAGACATCAATATTGATATTCCTTTTTGCATAAATGTTACTTTAGGGTGGAATATGCAAGGCAGTTCCCAACTATATACCCATATATGAGTACACTTCGTTTCAGGTTTGGAGAGGTGGCCGTCATTAGTCATTTATTGGTTCTGGCAGTTCTTTGGATAACAAGAGACTTAGGAGGCAGTGGAGGATGGGGATTTCTTTTTCCTCGTGGGTATGTTTGGAATGAGTTACAAAGACATTATATGATTATACACCATCATAAATGCAAGAATATACTCTAGTACATTGCTTTTTGTGTAGACATGATTTGATGGAGTAAAACAATGATTTGCATAAAGTACTAGACATGAATTGCAACTTTGTATAACATGTGTATGTATAAAATGTGTGTTAATAAAAGTAAGGGTCTCGTAAAAAATCGTGGCTTTTTAGTTAATGCTTTTCGAAAACGATCATAAAACTGAGAAAGTGCCCGGAACAAACGATACATGACTTGTCAGTCAGATTGGATGGAATACATTCGGGGGAGATGATTGTCGATTAATATCTTGCTTGCTACATGTATTGTTCGCAATTATTTACTTTTAAGGATAACTTTTATAGTGTTGTTGTATTTAGCTCATTCGTGACAGGGCCTATAACGTTTATGAGAATAGTGATTGTTTACAAAGGTCGATGCTAATACAATTTCTTGTTTCCACCGGAAAGCGACATTTGCAGTGTACATAAAATGCTGCCTTTTGTTGTAATTCTGGATGACCAGGCTTTTAATATGGTTTGATATTCTGTTTTGCCCTAAATTCTACAACTCATTTGTACAATACATTTGCAGGCTATTATCATTTGGTTTTGCAGCATGGTGTCCGATTCAACGCCAGCCATTCTAGTTTCATGCTGTCTTTGCCTCTTCCCTTCACAAATTCCAAAAGTTTTTTGTTGCACTAAAGGTAACTTTAACTCAAATTGTACAGGCCCTGATAACAATGTGTTAAAGTGATGTCTCTGACTTTCTTGTGAAAAATACCACCTAAATTTTTGCACAGTATATTTTCATTTTATCATTAATTTTAGGACGAAAATATGCCGCATATCCCCTCCTGCCTTGGAAAATTGCCGAGAAGACAGTGCCATGGGGAGTTATCATACTTGTAGGTGGTGGGTTTGCGATTGCAAAAGGAAGTGAGGTAGGTAAAAAAATATACTGCGAAATCTGTATTATGTGACCAAAATTACAATTCTACATCATGCATTGACGATTTCAAGATGAGTAACGCCAATGCCTAACGAGTTGCATCTTACTGGAATCACCTGTAATGAACAAGGATTTATGTGAATTTGGTATAAAAAATATTCTGATCAGGTAATATCAAAGGAGAAATCAATTATATCTCTTTTCCACTCGGTGGCGTGCTTTTACGCGAGGGAGATTATGGGTTCTGCCTCCCGATAAAACTTGAAATGGAACTTACCGCCCTTTGCTTGACGTTCAACTTTTCGGAAATGTTGACAACGTCACCTCATCACATGCACTGTAACAATGTCAAATAACCATGCAGGGTTTTATTGTCATGAATAACGTTGATTTGACTAGCTACCAAAGAAGCTGATTTGTCCGGCATCGGTTTTAAGCTGGCCCGCCAGAAGGTACCGTTCCGTTGAGACACTATAAAGTAAGCGTCAGATCAGCCCTATCACAAAGATGCAATAACACCAACATATTCGATCTCCAGCACCCATGCACAACACACATTGAGGCACGTTTTCAAATGACCTTAGCTTTTAAAAGGGCGATTAACAAGATACAACCAAACCAAACCTGATATTTTGTGACAATTGACTTACAGACGTAAGTTTTCAATTACCTTATGTGTTCAAAATAAACGTTGCATTTATTATTCATACCATACTGAGTAAATATAGGAAAATAACGCTTTTGAATATATATTTTATCCATTTTCAGCAAGAAATAAATTAACCTTGGATGGAATAATCAACTGTTTGGTTGGTAAAAAGGGAAATTGGCAAAATGATGATTTATATTTATTTGAATACATTTTTAAATTAGTTTTCACCTTTTGTGACATGAAAAGTAACGTGTTTCGCTTTGTGAACATGCTGATTTCCACTTTAAAAACATAACTTATGGCCCTTTTTTGTATTTCCCATGATCTAAAATAATCTTCCTCAAGCATCTTCCACCCAGGCTTACATGCGCAATTTACAAGTCACACCAAAGACAATGAAATGAATGTTATCGGGAAATTTGCTTTCAGTAGTTTAACAAAAGCATGCCACCATCACATTGTCAAGGCCGTCTACAGCAGCAAACGGCTCTGCTACAAGCAGTTAAAGAGTGTACTCCTTCTGATTGCCTGTTATCTCTTTCCCTTCCTGAAAGTAAACGTCATTTTGTGTGCCTCATCCATAAATCGTGCCTCATGCACTCCTTGCTACAATAGCGCATACAAAGTATATGGTGACCAAAATGACAAAACTCGAACTTTAAAGGGCACACGTGGAAAGTATTTTCTATTACCATATGATCGGCTTGATAATATATGATATTCTCATTTTCAATTCGTTAGGTGTTCTAAAAACAAGAAGGATGTTATTAATAGTAGAAGAAAAACAATATAAACGCAGCATTGTATTTTGTTAATCGTGAAAGGAATGATCTGTTATGTCGTCCGTGTTTGGTATACTTTCAGTTAAAACAACTAAATGGGACTAGTTAATATAAGTCACGCTCTTACACTGTAATTGTATTGGTTAACGGCTCATCGACAATTTGAGTCATTTAAAGCTGAACAACAAGGTAAAAAATAGACATTCATAAAAAATGAATACATGAAAACCAGAAACAAGATCGCGCAAAGCGTGACATTATCTCCCGTGCCCTGCTGTTTAAAAGAAAGACACACAATCATATTTATATAAAATGTAAAAAGAAAAATTCTCAACAGCGAGTCTTAAGAACGTTCATCTCTTCTAGGAGATTCTTCAGACTGTTTATATTTGAGGTAGATGTTGTGACGTCATAAACAATGACATCACATAATAGTTCGCTATATTGACGTCCGCTACATACGTAACCGAAATACCCCCAGTGCGGAGCGACACAATACCGATGTGACTACATCAGACAAATTACATTGGTCCAAATTCACAAATATAGCTTTTCTGTAGACAAAATAAAAACGATAAAAAATACCTGATCGGAATTCGTGTATGCACATCCTTTCAAATACAGAGGTACTCTCTACCTTCAACATTACATGAAGATAGAACATTATAAAATACTAGTCAAACAGTACTGTTCAAGCGGGGTCTAAGAAGTTTGATGAATTCAGTTTCCTTAGCCTCATTTGATAAATAGGAAATATTTTAAATTTGTCATCAGCTCAAGCGTGTATGTGTTTACTAACTGGTAAAAATCTTAAGCTGTCTGTTCGTATTTGCTCTCTATGTACAGTCATTCTTGTTCGTAGCTCAACGCCCGTTTGACCGATATAAATTCAGAACAATTGCTACAAATCAATGCGTAAATTACATTACTAGACTTACAATTCATGTTTTTTAACCTTAAAGCTAAAAAAATTTTCATTGGTTGGTGTTTTCGGTGTGTCCGGTGTTTCTTTGATGAACATGCTCTTCTCATACGTCGAAGGGTTTTCTCGTAGCTAGGCAGGTCCTTTTCTTCTCCCATCTCCAAACAGGAGCCGTGAAGAAAAAATATAAACACCAGGACCGAAGGGAATTAATTCCGCGGTAGTGTGTCGGATCAGTAATGTGATGGTCCCGAGTTGGCTCCACACAGGGGGTATTCTATTTTTTAATTTCTTGTAAATAACAGTTTTACTAGTAATTCTAAATCCTAAACAATTAGTACGCTCTGCCTTAATACCATAAATATATATTACTATTGCTGTGATATCACCATGGTGGGTACGTATATTGCAGACGTCACTATAGCGAACTATTTTGTGATGTCAACCAAATGCGTAGATAACAAAAAGGTTAAAATGTGTAAAAGATGTCAAAATATGTCAATAGCAACTGACTTATTTATAAAATATATCATATCTTATAATTGAGATTAATTGAATGTAAATAATCATAGGTTGATTGCACGGAACATATCATATGGCCGTTGTACCAAATGTAGATGAACGACGAATGTAATAAATATGAGAGATACTCTAAAATGGAGATGTTTCCACAAATAGTTGGTGTTTCCAGTAAATATGATCCCAACTGAGCATTTCGTCCATATTAGAGTAGTTATAACGTTAAACAAATAAATCCAAACCAATCGCTTTACCACTTATGTGATTTTCAAAATTTAAGTCTGGTTCTATTATTACTCATACTTTTCACTTGTTGTAGCAAGTAGTTCTTTCTCTTTAAACTTAATATTTGTCATGACAACTATCTAGTTATCTCGCTGACTTTCCGATGTGCGTGTGTTTGCACTTATCTTGATGCATTTTCATAAGAAAGACCTCACTCCACTTGCACATGTGTTACATTACACGCCGACAACACATGTGGACTTCGACTTTTCATTTACTGGCATTGTGGCCGCGACAGACTTCAATCTACTGAATGTCACTTTTAACATACTTCTGGAACACGACCGCAATTTAATTGCACACAGATTATATCGAGTTACAACACCAAACACAGTTCTAAAGTGCTGTATCCCGGCCTTCCCAGGCCTTTCTCTCCTGAGGCTACCATTCTCGAACCTCGACTCTTAACTCCTAACTACCTATACAAGTCTCCCCAAGCACTTTTAACAAATTATGCAAAATAAACTATTTAAGAGTAGGTACCACCAATTGTACATAAGTAATAAGGCACGTGCAGCAGTTTAATCATATTTCTTATCTAACTCCTCTGCTAATTTTCCCCTTCCAAAACAACAATACTAAATGTACCATATGGAAATGACAGTTACACCTGTCTGTTTTCGGGAGTTTACACTCTCGTTCCTATCTCTATGCCATCCATTACTGACCTGGTCGCCACTAGATGGATAGGCCTATAATACTTTCTTCAATGCAACAGTCCCCCGTCAATCAATTCAGTGTTAACCAAATCTTAAGATTTGACATCGGATGTAGTTTTGACCAAATCACTGCTCTCTATTGATACCCACTATCTTACACGTTATAAGATGGTTCCATTCTTTTTCATTAATTACCTAACATCAGCCCATTTTGTTACACATGCTATTCATGTCTCGTTCCAATCATTTTGAATCTTCATCTTTGGTTGTTACCTTGAAGACTTTATCTACTNCGCTTAATAAAGTCCTCTGAAAGTGGTCATCGAACTTAGCCGAGTCCCTAAGGCATTAAACCTTATTACTTAGTTTGAACTTGGTATCAAGACTTACTAAGACATCAATATTGATATTCCTTTTTGCATAAATGTTACTTTAGGGTGGAATATGCAAGGCAGTTCCCAACTATATACCCATATATGAGTACACTTCGTTTCAGGTTTGGAGAGGTGGCCGTCATTAGTCATTTATTGGTTCTGGCAGTTCTTTGGATAACAAGAGACTTAGGAGGCAGTGGAGGATGGGGATTTCTTTTTCCTCGTGGGTATGTTTGGAATGAGTTACAAAGACATTATATGATTATACACCATCATAAATGCAAGAATATACTCTAGTACATTGCTTTTTGTGTAGACATGATTTGATGGAGTAAAACAATGATTTGCATAAAGTACTAGACATGAATTGCAACTTTGTATAACATGTGTATGTATAAAATGTGTGTTAATAAAAGTAAGGGTCTCGTAAAAAATCGTGGCTTTTTAGTTAATGCTTTTCGAAAACGATCATAAAACTGAGAAAGTGCCCGGAACAAACGATACATGACTTGTCAGTCAGATTGGATGGAATACATTCGGGGGAGATGATTGTCGATTAATATCTTGCTTGCTACATGTATTGTTCGCAATTATTTACTTTTAAGGATAACTTTTATAGTGTTGTTGTATTTAGCTCATTCGTGACAGGGCCTATAACGTTTATGAGAATAGTGATTGTTTACAAAGGTCGATGCTAATACAATTTCTTGTTTCCACCGGAAAGCGACATTTGCAGTGTACATAAAATGCTGCCTTTTGTTGTAATTCTGGATGACCAGGCTTTTAATATGGTTTGATATTCTGTTTTGCCCTAAATTCTACAACTCATTTGTACAATACATTTGCAGGCTATTATCATTTGGTTTTGCAGCATGGTGTCCGATTCAACGCCAGCCATTCTAGTTTCATGCTGTCTTTGCCTCTTCCCTTCACAAATTCCAAAAGTTTTTTGTTGCACTAAAGGTAACTTTAACTCAAATTGTACATGCCCTGATAACAATGTGTTAAAGTGATGTCTCTGACTTTCTTGTGAAAAATACCACCTAAATTTTTGCACAGTATATTTTCATTTTATCATTAATTTTAGGACGAAAATATGCCGCATATCCCCTCCTGCCTTGGAAAATTGCCGAGAAGACAGTGCCATGGGGAGTTATCATACTTGTAGGTGGTGGGTTTGCGATTGCAAAAGGAAGTGAGGTAGGTAAAAAAATATACTGCGAAATCTGTATTATGTGACCAAAATTACAATTCTACATCATGCATTGACGATTTCAAGATGAGTAACGCCAATGCCTAACGAGTTGCATCTTACTGGAATCACCTGTAATGAACAAGGATTTATGTGAATTTGGTATAAAAAATATTCTGATCAGGTAATATCAAAGGAGAAATCAATTATATCTCTTTTCCACTCGGTGGCGTGCTTTTACGCGAGGGAGATTATGGGTTCTGCCTCCCGATAAAACTTGAAATGGAACTTACCGCCCTTTGCTTGACGTTCAACTTTTCGGAAATGTTGACAACGTCACCTCATCACATGCACTGTAACAATGTCAAATAACCATGCAGGGTTTTATTGTCATGAATAACGTTGATTTGACTAGCTACCAAAGAAGCTGATTTGTCCGGCATCGGTTTTAAGCTGGCCCGCCAGAAGGTACCGTTCCGTTGAGACACTATAAAGTAAGCGTCAGATCAGCCCTATCACAAAGATGCAATAACACCAACATATTCGATCTCCAGCACCCATGCACAACACACATTGAGGCACGTTTTCAAATGACCTTAGCTTTTAAAAGGGCGATTAACAAGATACAACCAAACCAAACCTGATATTTTGTGACAATTGACTTACAGACTTAAGTTTTCAATTACCTTATGTGTTCAAAATAAACGTTGCATTTATTATTCATACCATACTGAGTAAATATAGGAAAATAACGCTTTTGAATATATATTTTATCCATTTTCAGCAAGAAATAAATTAACTTTGGATGGAATAATCAACTGTTTGGTTGGTAAAAAGGGAAATTGGTAAAATGATGATTTATATTTATTTGAATACATTTTAAAATTAGTTTTCACCTTTTGTGACATGAAAAGTAACGTGTTTCGCTTTGTGAACATGCTGATTTCCACTTTAAAAACATAACTTATGGCCCTTTTTTGTATTTCCCATGATCTAAAATAATCTTCCTCAAGCATCTTCCACCCAGGCTTACATGCGCAATTTACAAGTCACACCAAAGACAATGAAATGAATGTTATCGGGAAATTTGCTTTCAGTAGTTTAACAAAAGCATGCCACCATCACATTGTCAAGGCCGTCTACAGCAGCAAACGGCTCTGCTACAAGCGGTTAAAGAGTGTACTCCTTCTGATTGCCTGTTATCTCTTTCCCTTCCTGAAAGTAAACGTCATTTTGTGTGCCTCATCCATCAATCGTGCCTCATGCACTCCTTGCTACAATAGCGCATACAAAGTATATGGTGACCAAAATGACAAAACTCAAACTTTAAAGGGCACACGTGGAAAGTATTTTCTATTACCATATGATCGGCTTGATAATATATGATATTCTCATTTTCAATTCGTTAGGTGTTCTAAAAACAAGAAGGATGTTATTAATAGTAGAAGAAAAACAATATAAACGCAGCATTGTATTTTGTTAATCGTGAAAGGAATGATCTGTTATGTCGTCCGTGTTTGGTATACTTTCAGTTAAAACAACTAAATGGGACTAGTTAATATAAGTCACGCTCTTACACTGTAATTGTATTGGTTAACGGCTCATCGACAATTTGAGTCATTTAAAGCTGAACAACAAGGTAAAAAATAGACATTCATAAAAAATGAATACATGAAAACCAGAAACAAGATCGCGCAAAGCGTGACATTATCTCCCGTGCCCTGCTGTTTAAAAGAAAGACACACAATCATATTTATATAAAATGTAAAAAGAAAAATTCTCAACAGCGAGTCTTAAGAACGTTCATCTCTTCTAGGAGATTCTTCAGACTGTTTATATTTGAGGTAGATGTTGTGACGTCATAAACAATGACATCACATAATAGTTCGCTATATTGACGTCCGCTACATACGTAACCGAAATACCCCCAGTGCGGAGCGACACAATACCGATGTGACTACATCAGACAAATTACATTGGTCCAAATTCACAAATATAGCTTTTCTGTAGACAAAATAAAAACGATAAAAAATACCTGATCGGAATTCGTGTATGCACATCCTTTCAAATACAGAGGTACTCTCTACCTTCAACATTACATGAAGATAGAACATTATAAAATACTAGTCAAACAGTACTGTTCAAGCGGGGTCTAAGAAGTTTGATGAATTCAGTTTCCTTAGCCTCATTTGATAAATAGGAAATATTTTAAATTTGTCATCAGCTCAAGCGTGTATGTGTTTACTAACTGGTAAAAATCTTAAGCTGTCTGTTCGTATTTGCTCTCTATGTACAGTCATTCTTGTTCGTAGCTCAACGCCCGTTTGACCGATATAAATTCAGAACAATTGCTACAAATCAATGCGTAAATTACATTACTAGACTTACAATTCATGTTTTTTAACCTTAAAGCTAAAAAAATTTTCATTGGTTGGTGTTTTCGGTGTGTCCGGTGTTTCTTTGATGAACATGCTCTTCTCATACGTCGAAGGGTTTTCTCGTAGCTAGGCAGGTCCTTTTCTTCTCCCATCTCCAAACAGGAGCCGTGAAGAAAAAATATAAACACCAGGACCGAAGGGAATTAATTCCGCGGTAGTGTGTCGGATCAGTAATGTGATGGTCCCGAGTTGGCTCCACACAGGGGGTATTCTATTTTTTAATTTCTTGTAAATAACAGTTTTACTAGTAATTCTAAATCCTAAACAATTAGTACGCTCTGCCTTAATACCATAAATATATATTACTATTGCTGTGATATCACCATGGTGGGTACGTATATTGCAGACGTCACTATAGCGAACTATTTTGTGATGTCAACCAAATGCGTAGATAACAAAAAGTTAAAATGTGTAAAAGATGTCAAAATATGTCAATAGCAACTGACTTATTTATAAAATATATCATATCTTATAATTGAGATTAATTGAATGTAAATAATCATAGGTTGATTGCACGGAACATATCATATGGCCGTTGTACCAAATGTAGATGAACGACGAATGTAATAAATATGAGAGATACTCTAAAATGGAGATGTTTCCACAAATAGTTGGTGTTTCCAGTAAATATGATCCCAACTGAGCATTTCGTCCATATTAGAGTAGTTATAACGTTAAACAAATAAATCCAAACCAATCGCTTTACCACTTATGTGATTTTCAAAATTTAAGTCTGGTTCTATTATTACTCATACTTTTCACTTGTTGTAGCAAGTAGTTCTTTCTCTTTAAACTTAATATTTGTCATGACAACTATCTAGTTATCTCGCTGACTTTCCGATGTGCGTGTGTTTGCACTTATCTTGATGCATTTTCATAAGAAAGACCTCACTCCACTTGCACATGTGTTACATTACACGCCGACAACACATGTGGACTTCGACTTTTCATTTACTGGCATTGTGGCCGCGACAGACTTCAATCTACTGAATGTCACTTTTAACATACTTCTGGAACACGACCGCAATTTAATTGCACACAGATTATATCGAGTTACAACACCAAACACAGTTCTAAAGTGCTGTATCCCGGCCTTCCCAGGCCTTTCTCTCCTGAGGCTACCATTCTCGAACCTCGACTCTTAACTCCTAACTACCTATACAAGTCTCCCCAAGCACTTTTAACAAATTATGCAAAATAAACTATTTAAGAGTAGGTACCACCAATTGTACATAAGTAATAAGGCACGTGCAGCAGTTTAATCATATTTCTTATCTAACTCCTCTGCTAATTTTCCCCTTCCAAAACAACAATACTAAATGTACCATATGGAAATGACAGTTACACCTGTCTGTTTTCGGGAGTTTACACTCTCGTTCCTATCTCTATGCCATCCATTACTGACCTGGTCGCCACTAGATGGATAGGCCTATAATACTTTCTTCAATGCAACAGTCCCCCGTCAATCAATTCAGTGTTAACCAAATCTTAAGATTTGACATCGGATGTAGTTTTGACCAAATCACTGCTCTCTATTGATACCCACTATCTTACACGTTATAAGATGGTTCCATTCTTTTTCATTAATTACCTAACATCAGCCCATTTTGTTACACATGCTATTCATGTCTCGTTCCAATCATTTTGAATCTTCATCTTTGGTTGTTACCTTGAAGACTTTATCTACTGTTTGTGTACAGTGCGATTTAATCATACCAACACTATTTTCAGGAATCGGGTCTGTCTCAATGGCTTGCAGATCAGCTGGTGGTATTTAGTGAGTTTGAGCCGTGGATTATGAACATGATTCTGTGTTTCATCATGGCAGCAGCAACGGAAGTTACAAGTAACACTGCTATTTCTACCCTGATGATGCCTATCGTCACACAACTGGTATATACTTGACATCACTACTCAAAATAGCAGCAGCAATGTCAGTTAATTAATTGAAACTAATGTAAAAGTCTCTTATTTCATAGTCACTTAACAATTGTTGAAATTCGGTTCAAAGCCATTGATTTTATCCAAGTCATTCAATTCTTCTTGACTTTTATTATTTTTTTTACAAAATAAGTATATCGTAAATATAGAAAATTTACCTTTCATCTAAAAATATTCTGGGCGACTGGTAGAGAATTTCATATTGCAATATAGCAATAATTTTAGAATGTTCTTTTTACTTCCGTCTCTTACATGTATCGCACCTATCGTTTACACGTTTGACCGTGTGTCCCTGTAGGACTTGTGGGTTAATTTAAAGTATTGACTAAGATTATTTTATTGCATTGTAGGCATTCCGTTTAGGTGTAAACCCTTTATACTACATGCTACCGACCGCCATTGCCACGTCATTTGCCTTCATGCTACCGGTAGCCACGCCACCCAATGCTGTTGTTTTCTCGACTGGATATGTCAGGGTCATCGACATGGTATTTTTATATGCATCCCTTTCCTACAAGTCGTGGATAACGTATTTTTACTATGTGTAAATGTATTCATCGAATTTGGTATATTTATGACAATATAATCAAAATTTGTTTTGTTTAAGAAATCACAAGTACCCTTCATTTCTGAATAGCTGTTTTCAGGACAATTTCTGGCTTATAAAGCTCAACACTTTTCGCCATTTTTTCCCCTTTGTATAATGTTCGTGTCTAGACAAATTTCAATGATGCATATGATATACGTTTTAATGAGGTTTCATCTACTTAAAATTCAAATTGATTTGTGCTTTCCAGACAAGTAATTAAAGATGTTGATGTGAAAAACATATTATCCAATTCATTCTTTGTTTTCAGATGACTGCTGGATTTGTCATGAATATAGTAGCGGTATTGATTCTGGTAGCAGCAACGGAAACCATTGGAGAACGCATTTACAATTTTCACACACTTCCATCTATTTTCAACACAACAATGTTGCTAAATATTACAGGAAATGGTTTCTAACTCTGTTGTATTTTTTATTTGAGATCATTTGTTTGGACTATTGTATAGTCCAATGAAGTTTCTGAGCAAATTTGAAGAGGAGATGCGTTTTAAAGCAAATTTAGCTAAGTTCCCCACCCCCTGACCTCAGTGGTCGAACCAACCTCATTTATTTAAGAAATGATTGCCCTCACCTAGTGATGCTTGAGACCAAATTTGGTTGAAATTCTCTTTGGTGTTAAGGAGGAGATAGGTTTTAAAGAAAAAGTTGACGATGGACAACGCGCAGTTTTGAGTTGTCGATAACTTGCCATGGATAGTCTGTCGTTTGCGCCGCATGAGAAACACCAGAGTACGGAGGGACAGGAAAAATCCGTTTGCCGTTCTTCCTTCCTCTAGGGGATATTTTTGAAAGGAACAGGTTTAGGCCACCAATAGATCATTTTCTTATTGGCATAAATACTGCAATGTTAGAGAGTCAAATATCGACGAATCGACCACTTGAGCCGATTATTCAGGTTCTCTGCGCATTCCTTTTCTTTGCAGCTGGTGCATTTTATAATTGTATCGGTGATACACTTGATATATTATGAAAGCATCAGTAGGGAGATCTGTTGTAAATGTGAGCAATGCATTATGATGACTGAGCCAGTACTGGATAATGTGTCGAGTTGGGCAGACACTAGCTATTGGTATTGTTTAACGTCCTATCAACAGCTATGGTAATTTAAGGCGGCCTCCCCTGTGTACTAGATGCATGTGTGTAGTGTAAGCGTGTGTTTTGGGAGGCTGCGCTATGTTCGTGTTTTTTTCTTGTGATAACCGATGCCGACTTATGGTGCTACCTCACTGAAACGTACCTGCCGAAAACACCTAGCAGGACACTCGACCCGGTCACACTATACTGACAACGGGCGAACCAGTCGTTCCACTCCTAAATTGCCGAGGGTTAATCAAGAGCAGAAACTACCATTTTTACAGACTCTGGCATGTCAAGGCCAGGGGACAGAACCCAAAACTTTCCTCACAGGGGCGAACGCTCAAGAGTGAGGCAATGTCAACGGAGACATTGGGAATAAAGTTGTTTAGATCAAGAAAGGGGGGGAAGCATAAACCTGCTGTTACCCGTCGATGTATCGCAGGAGGCGACTAAACAGAAACCCCCTGCAGGATTGGGGATTTGCTTTGGAGTCCTCTTTTTGGGGACAAAATAGCCACTAAAAAAAATTGCTGCATCCATTGCAATATTGTGGATCTTTATATTTCTTTCTCCCTTTATTGTTTCCATCTCGTAGAGGAGTTTACTTAACAAACCTCCTGAGAGGGTGGAAAACTACAAAGCAAAACAGATAAAACACTCATAAGATTACTCAAAATTAACTAGGTCAAACAATGGTAATTATCTCAAACTGACAAAAAATGTTCGAGCTAAACAATAGCCATTTTACTAGTACAACTCAACCATATCACTGTATCTATTAGTTTAGGCTTCTTTGATATGAATATTATGCAATCAAAATTACATAGAGTAAAATTATAATTGCTCCATACCACCGGATAATAAATTAGATAAGACCCTGTGTTAACAGAGCCTTCAAAACACAACATGTCACATACCACACGAAATTATGGTTAGTTGCAGGATATTATCATTACTATTATTCATATTAATACAGTTGGTACCTATAATGAAGTACAAAATAATAAAATATACTATTTGACTACGTTATTGTGTCGAGCAAACAAGCAGACGACACCAATTGGAATCTGGCTGGACTCCCCGAAGCCCAACAAAACCATCGGATTTACCAAACTTACATAATGAACATATGCATACATTATGCAATAAATCATTATTATAAACTCTTTCTCCTTAGGGAGGCCCTCATTTAGCCAACACAATATCAGCGTGACTGCGACGCTTCCACATGGTAGACATAGAAACTTTGTAAACAAAACTAATATGCGGATTAGAGGCGTGTACTAATTTCCGTGCTAACGTATCGCTATTTTGTAAGGCACTGGAAACTACAATTTCTTGCTGTGCTTTATTGCGCGTCTACGTCTGCGCTGATTTGTTTTTTTTTCGGCACGCTTCTTTTGGTTTTGGACAGCTGAAGTAAGCAACAGTCGATTTAACTGTTCGAGATGATTTTGCGGTTTTTGATTTGGCCAAAATTTTCAAAAAACCTACCAACATTTTCTTTGAGATGCTTTGTACAGAGCAAAAATGTGGAACCGTTGACATTGTCACAGAGAGCAGAAGTCATTGCCTTTTCCTCATCCGTGCCAATTACAATTTTGTCAGTTCCCAGTTTTGACTGTACGTGACCAAAAAGTAGCTGTAGGTAGGCTTTCCCCCATCCCAATGCAAGAGAGTCGGGCCTAGGATGATCTCCCGTTACCCTCTGAACCATACCACACTGATTTTTATACGGTTCGGTCTATGCTGATTACACTCCTTCCCTCTCCTACACAATTTGCTTTCATATCTGAAAGTTGCCCCTCGCAATACACGATAATGTTAGGTAGTTTGCCTTTCAAAATGTATACGGTTTGCACGCAAGAATCCGTTTTTAACTTCGTCAACACTTTAATCACCTCATCAGCAATGTTTTTGTTTTGTGTAACAATTGGTTTTACCTTTCTGTTGTCCCTATAGTTTTTGTCCCGGATCTGTTTATTTGATTTAGGACCAAGTACGCTATTGTCTTTGGCAGCTTCGTAGCAAGCATGTGATGTGGCAATGGTCTTTGCCTTAGTGGCACAGTCTTTCAATATGTCAGGATCTGTTCTAATGAATCTGTTTGCTGTTGCCGTCGTGCAAATTTGTTCTTGAAACGCGTATGTCGCAATACTCAACCAATGCTAGCTTCATTATGTCCTTCATACTTTCCAGGGCGTCAACAACTGTATAACTGCAATAATACCTGTTAAATGTTATGTGCTGAGATGGTTGCGGCTATATATGAACATATGTTGTTGTGTTTTGGATCATCTTTCTAGTACAGAATACGTTGTCGCGTTTGCAAATAGTTGCCAGTGTATTTTCCTGTGATATGGCGAATGTCTGGTTAGATGTTATACCTTTAGAGGAATCCCAAACTCAACAGTCGTCTGGAAAGCCATCTCTGTTGTTGAGTAATACAAACACATTGTCCTTTGCACCAAGATGAATTCTGTCACATGGCGTGGCTGATAACATAAGTGTCAAATTACTGTTTATTCGTCATGAATTTCCCCTGGGAAGACGCTTGATGAAGTTCAGATGGTGGTTTAGATGATAGTTTAGATGGAGATGTATGACCTGTGTCTCGATGTTCGTCAACCTAATTCGTCGGATATGTTATCGCTCAGATCCTTAAATCAGTTGCTACTGCGGAAACTGTGTTGTGTCCTCAAAACTCAAACTAGAATTTGATAGTTTCCGGGAGTTTTAGGGAGGTCCATGCGTTCCTGTTTGATGATTTCTGGTGACAGCAAAGGTAGTCGTTTGTTGAGTGTTTTGCACTTAACGTTGAAAAACGGTGTTCTAAGGGGAGATGGAGGTGAGGGGTCAGTCTTGTAGGTGTTGATGTTGATAACTTTGTCTGCATATGATATGCGTGTGTTATGGTCTGTGGTGGACTACAGGTGCAATGTACAAAGTGATTTGGCTTCCAAAACTTTCCTTTTTGCTCTTTTACGATGTTTGTCCACATAACATTGAGGGGTGTTACGTTTGTTTGTTGAATGTTCTGTGGGTGGAATGTTGTGTTTAACTTAACGTTCGCAATATCTTTGAAGCCGTTGACAGCAGGATAAAGAGATTCGATTGGAATATATATGACATTGGCAAGGGCAATAATTGTCCATACACTCGAAAATTCATTGTCATACTTCACGCAACTTAAACACGCTTCGCAGGTTGTTGGAGAAATGAGTGAGGAACTTCCTCTCTGTGGGTGGGTAGAAATCGTCTCTAGGTTGGTGACCAGCTCTAGACATGTTAGATATCGCAACTGCACCGACAACGATTCGTCTCCTGCAAGCAACGTTGAGTCCGAATTCAATAAGCAGCTGAAGACTTTGCACTAGCCTCGAAAGTAAGATAACTATAGCAGATATGATATATCCGATAAAATTCAGGAAGATATATTTCACTGTTTATGAAGAAAACTAATTAGAGCTGTCTGTACAAGTTTGTGTGCCAGTCAGGAAAGTTCCGGTCATTTCTGAAGCCAGTAGTCGACCTTCCTGGCCCCTTGATGAAAACTACTGCAGGACAATGCTCCTTCTACATTTTCTAAACTGGAGAAAAATCTCAGACATCAAGGATCAGGATACATCATGGACTGACACATTCAATTCAACAGCAATCTGTCCAAACTGGAAAGGTGGAAAGGGCAAAATAACATGACACTAATGAGGAGGAATTCGAAGTTGAAGAGTCTTATGAAAATGATGTAGAACAGCCAGAACGGATGGACGCTCTTCGACCATCCAAATTTCAGTATGATGATGGTAGACCGGGGTACAACTAGAATCAAAGATCATTGCTCCAACAAGATGTAGGAAAGTCATGGATTGAGCACATCAAAGAAAATAGCAATGAGCCAAACAATGTTCTTGATGTACCAAACGTTGTCCTTACCAACATGAATGAAGATCAGATCAATATTGTAATGGACACTCTACATCGATACATATTGTATCTGGTACTGCAGGTTCTGGAAAGTCATATCTGATAAAATGTTTAGTAAAGGGTATAAGAAATCTCTTCAAGATAAAAATAGCGGTACAAATACTCTGTTCTACTGGAAGTAGTGCAAACCTCATTATGGTGGAACTTTGCACAGCTTTTTGAAAATACCAACACATCATAAGTATAAAGAGATGAAACAGCCAGATGAGAAGATTGGGAAACTGCTTCAAGAAATCTGTGTAGGTGTAGAAGTCTTTCTTGTGGATGAAAGATCCCTTATAGGTGCTACTACCTTAGTATGGATGGAGCTCATGTGTAGGTGTGCCATGTATTCAGGATCTAAATCTCAAGAGACTTGGGGTGGTCTCCCAGTTGTCGTGTTTTTAGGTGACGATGTACAGCTTCCACCTGTGTTAGACTACCCAATTTAACACCCAAATAAA